TTTGAGTCGATTCTGACTTATAGCGACCCTATAGGACAGAGTAGAACTGCCCCCATAGAGTTTTCAAGGAGCAGCTGGTGGATTTGAACTGCCAACCTTTTGGTCAGCAGCCACAAGGGTCCTTAAATGGAGAAGAGGAAGGTCGAAGAGTCAGAACCAGAGAGATGGCATCGTGCAAAAGACTCGACTGGCCGTTGCTGGCTTTGAGAAAGTTTAACAATATATTATTTTAAAAAATGGTTTGAGTCTTAGGAAATGTTAGCTGGACACGACAATGAATCCCCACTGGACCCCAGTGATCCTGTTCTTTGTGTTATTTCTAATAGGTGCACTAGCCGGACAGAATCCGGCAGTGGCATAGCTGTAGTCTAATACTGGGATTTCAGAAAAGCACTTGTCAAAGGCTTTATGATATCCTGTGGAGAAATAAGGATTGGGGTGATAAATTAGTGTTGCAAAGTCTTAATGTTTTTATGCAATTGAATAGAGAAGTTTGACTAGATCATTTCTGAGCCTCCTGGAAGTTTAATTAGCCATGAAAATGTAAAAACAAATAATAAGGTGTCTACACCATCACCTGCTAGTGTATGTAGGATAATACTTAAGAGAGGGTAGGGAGGATGAAGAAGATGAAAATATGATGTAAATTTTAAAACTATATTGATTTACACTGATCCTTCAGAGTGTAGGCGGAGAAGTTGAATTTTTAAGTGTTAACAGCATCAGAGGAGCCTGTTAAGGGGCTGACATGACTTAGATCTTGGTTCTTCGTAAAGAAAGAAGTTCTGACTCCTGAACAAATCTTTCACCAGTCTTTCTTTCCCTACCCCCACCCTCCCCTTTTTAATCTTCTTATAGGATTGCATTTTTCTATTCAAGGAGTATCAGACGTCTTTCCACAAAACAAGAAAACAGATTTTAGAATCCTCAGGGGAAAAATCTTTTGAGGTTTCAGAAATGTATATATTTGGGAAATTTGAAGCTTTCTGTAAAAGACTGGAGAAGGTAAGCATTATGTCACAGTAACCCACCCTCACCACACCTTTTTGGTTATTTCATACTTTATGTAGCTCTGTTGGGACTTATTGTTGCAAAACTCTTGTCTCACTGTTGATGTAACCCATTTGATCTTATTCACGAATCGATGTATTTTATTATAGCTTGTTTTTTTTTTTCATTCTTGGTTACTGCCCTCTGCTAGTCACACAAAAACTATTGCAAACTTTTACCTCTCTCAAGACCTCAGTTCTACTTCCACCTATGGAACTTGAACTTAGAAGCCTCTGTTCTTAACCATTGTGTTAGGCTGAAATACCTGCAGTACCTGGCAGAGGTCCGTAGTTGTGGAATGTCTGGGCATTACAGGCGCCTTCTCTTTCTAGGTCAGTATATACATAAAAATTGCTGAGCAGACATGGTTTAGAAACTTCTGTACTTTTGCTTTGTTTATTGCCACTGGCTGGGGACAGTGTTATTTTTTTCAGGGGATATAGGATAGCCCATATCAGAGGCTCCTTGGAAACAACGTTTAACCTTTTGAGAAACTGCCAGACTGTATGTAACCCAAGGCAATCGCACCATTTCACAGAGCCACCAGTAGCGTTTGATTTTAAGGATTATTTGAGTATTATTTTAATTGAGTTATTCTTCGTTTTATTACTGACTTGTAAGAGTTCTTTATGTATTCTGGATACAAGTCCCTTATCAGATACATGGTTTGCAAACCTTTTTTCTCACTCAGTGTGTTGTCTTTTTACTTTCTTGATGATGTCCTTTGAAACACAAAAGTTTTTAATTTGATGAAGTCCGGTTTATCTATTTTTTTTTTTTGTTTGTTGTTTCTGCTTTTTGATGTCATATCTAAGAAACCATTATATGGGGTTGTTTTTTTGTGAGTAGTAAGGATTTTTTTAGGGACAGATGTCCAGTTGTATGAGTGTTGCCATGGGTCAAATTATTAGGCCCCATTCAGGAGCTGTTCCACAAAGAGGAAGGGAGGCTTGGCCTTTTAAAGTTAGCCTCCCCCACTACCCCCATACCACATAGCAGCAACAAAGAAGTCAGTCATGGTAATCAGCTATGACCTGCCTTTGCTTCCCATGTTTATATAGAGCACATAAGGCAAGTTGTAAATCCCCTGAGGGGCCTGTATCTCCTCCAGGTTTGGGCTGGCTTCTAGGATGACAGTGGTTTTTTTAAGTGTGTAGAAATAGTAGAGTAAGAACAGTTGCTCTGAAAATGGCTGTTCTGGGTTGACATGTGCAGGAACTTTATGTGAATTCTGCTGGCTGTGCAGAAGGACCAGTTGTGTTGCCTTCATGGCATGCAGTATTTGGAGGACTTCCCTCAAGAAAAGATTTACTTTCTGTCCATCAGACAAACGGGTCAGCCCTGGAGAGCTTTGAGCGTTGTTCTCCAAAGCAGGAATAAAAATGGGAGTCACTGTTGAAGATTAAAGAACTGAATAGTCTGTGGACATGAAAGATTATTTTGAAGTACCTGTAGAGGTGTTGGCACATTTATTTCAGAAATAAAATAAGTCCATATGAGGGTAATCCTGTACTCTTTAGGGGTCAGATGTTGTTGTTAGTTGCTGTTGAGTCAGCTCTGACTCATGGCACCCGTATTTATAGCAGAATGAAATGTTACCTGGTCCTGTGCCACCTTCATGATCATTGGTGGTTTGAGTTCATTGTTATGGCTATTTTGTCAATCCATCTCATTGAGGGTTTTCCTTGTTTTTGTTGGCTTACGAGTCAGACGTGATTGCAGTAGTCCTGAGTGTAGGTGTCATTGTTATCGTTGTTAACTTGCTGAGGAGTTGATTTTGGTTTGTAGCAACTCCATGTGACAGAGTAGAACTGCCCGATAGGGTTTTCTAGGTGGTAATCTATTGGGGAGCAGATCGCCACCGGGGCTCCTTGTAAGTATTATAGGGAGAACAAATGTGGATTTGTGCTAAGCTTTACATATGAGAACTACAGTTAGGGCCAAGAAGAATGGTAAAGCTTTTGAATCCAGTGAAATGATGGATATCTGTTTAGATATCGGCAAGGGCTTTTACTCAAGTCTTTCTCTCTTTCTTGAAAGACGATATGATTACATTCTGAAAGAGGCTATCAGCGGAGGTTGTGAACTCTATCTGGATATGATGGAACATCATCTGTCTTAAATAGCGTAAGATTAGTATGAGGACAGAGGTTTGTATTCTAGTTTATCTCTTCTGGTTGGTTTTAACTAAATGAATCCACGGCGTACTTATTGATTTGTTTTTACAATCAATAATTTGTTAAGAGCTTAGACTCTTAGGGAAGGGTATTGATATTAGTATCTGATTTTTAAAATAAAATATCACCTTTCTTTTTAAGATTACAGAAATGATAACTATTGTGCAAACATACTCAGCCTTGAGTAATTCTACCATAGAGGGAATAGATATTATGGCAATAAAATTCAAAAATATATATCAAGGGGTTAAGAAAAAGCAGTATGACATTCTGGATCCAAGAAGGACAGAATTTGAAACAGATTTCTTAGAGTTCATGGCCAAAATCAATAGTTTAGAGGTAAGTGATTATACATACTTTCACTTTGGTAAAGCTGAAATGTTATCAACAGTAGTGAGCATTCATGTATTTACTATTTCTTTTATTATAAATTGGATCCTTGGTGGCGCAGTGGTTAAGTGTTTGGCTGCTAACCAAAAAGTCCGCAGTTCAAATCCACCAGCTACTCCTTGGAAACCCTATGTCCTATAGGGTTGCTATGAGTTGGAATTGACTCCACAGCTGTGGGTTTGGTTATTTGGTTTTATTATAAATTACTCTTGAAAACTGATAAAAGAAATATTTGCCAGTGTGAATAATTTTTAACTGATCCACAAAATATTTTCCTTTTTCTTTTAAATGAAAAATCAAGGTATTCTATACAAGATGACCGTGAATAGGCAGAAGCCCAAAAGGCTATTGTAGCTAGAGTTCATTTTTAATTTACGTTAAAATTTGTGCTTGATTTTTGTTGTGCCAAGGAACCAATGTCATTTTTCCAGTCTGAGAGAGAACTTGTAATCCTTATTCTTTGTTTTAAGAGTGAAAAGATTTGAGAGCAGATGAGGAAGGTGAATCACTCTTCCCCTGGCCCCTGCCCTTTAAATCCACATTCTCTTTGCAGCTGTAGAGGATAGCTCTGAAGTGACCCTCATCCCCTGTGTCATAGGTTAAGGGCATGAGAGGGATGAAGGCTAGGTAAAAAGTATGTCAGGTGAGGCTGTAACATATTTCTTTCTCAGCTTTTGGGGTTATATGACCTTAGTTACTCTCTTGCCAAAAACTACCGTAGAACCAGGTATAACCCCAGGGCATGGTCTCCTCTTTGCTGCAGAATGCCCTGGAGACACAGCAAGGGGCAAGAATATACTCAGTCTACTTTCAGAGTCTGAGATTCTTGCCATAAAGGTGTTTTTTTTCTTTCCCCCTCATTTTTTTTTTTTTTTTATTGTGGTAAGTATATATATATGGAGCCCTGGTGGTGCAATGGTTAAGTGCTTGGCTGCTAATTGAAAGGTCATCGGTTCCTCCGCAGGAGAAAAGACCTGGCAGTCTGCTTCTGTAAAGATTGCAACCTAGGAAACCCTATGGGGCAGTTCTACTCTGTCATATAGGGCCACTAGGAGTTGAAATTGACTTGATGGCACACAACAACAACACATAAATATATAAGAAAGCATTTGCCATTTCAACATTTTTACATGTACGATTCAGTGACTTTATTTACGTTCATCACGTTGTGCAACCATTACCACTATCTGTTTCCAAATTTTTTCATCACCATGAACAGACTCAGTGTCCCCTCTCATTTATTTATTTAAAAACAAACAAACAAACAAAAAAACCTCTTCAAAAACTACATTACACATAATCTGGACAATACACCTAAGAAATATCCTAAATTTCTAGCAATACTTTTTTTTTTGGCATAGCTTTCCTTTTAGTTTTTGAACGTTAGACTCCTTGATATTAAGAAATATTATTTTTTAGTTATTACTTTTGTGTTGGCTAGGTGGGCCGGGTGAAGTTTGCTTCCAAAATGCTTTAGGAGTTAAATCTTTATGGCAATAGGAATTTGGTTTTTTTAAAAAGCAACATATTACCTCTTAAAGTGTTGTTACGATTTATTAAGAAATATTATATGTTATAAAATTTTTACTGTGGTCTTAGATACAAATTTAAGCTTTCAGTAAGTTCAGAGACCATATTAACTTTTTAATATTTAACTGAATTGTTTTAGGTATCAGTGTTTTAATCATCCTTCCTTTTCCAATGTTTGATTAGTGGGTACGGTATATATTAGTGGGCCATACCATTATGGATCTAAAAGTAAAAGTAATTTACAAAGAGTGGTTTAGTCCCATTGGTTGGGTGCCTGCAGTTTGGAGCTCACTGCTTGGGATGGAAGGCTTCTTGGGAAGAACTTCCTGTTCCTCCTTAACAATGAATGACAAAGAGGTTTCTGAGGGCAGCAGTGTTTGGTCCTTTTGGCCCTGGATGTTTATACCTTTTCTTCCAGCATGCTTAAAAATTCTAAATATCCCAAAGAAACATGCTTGGTAAGAGATATTACTCCTTTTGCTAATTCTCCAGATCATCAACAGCCAATTAATAATGAGCCACAAATGCAAGCCACCATATGTAACTTTAATTTTTCTAGTAGCCACATTAATTAAAATAAAAAGAAACAGGTGAACATTTTATTCAACCCAAGATATGTAAAAATTTTGTCATTTCATCATATCATCAATATAAAAATCATTAATGAGATCTTTTACTGTATTTCATGCCAAGTCTTTGAAATCCAGTGTGTATTTTACATTTACAGCACATCTCACTTCCAAGTAGTGACATTCAAGTGCTCAGTGACATCCAAGTGCTCAGTGACGTCTTGTGGCCAATGGCTACTGTACTGGACAGAGCAGGACTATATGCTTAGATGCGAGACGTGTTCACAGCTATTATGGTTCTGTAGGAAAGTCATTAATCATTAAACCATTAACTAATCTCATTAATATGAATAATCATTTAAATATTAATATTTTCTTTTAGGTACAAATACAGGCATTTATGAACAGTACTTTTGGAAAAATCTTATCTTCTCAGCAGGCTCTTCAGCTTCTTCAACGGTATTTGTAATGTTTTCAGCAGTATAGTTTCTAGATGGGATAACTTTATATCTGAAAATGCAATTTCAAATAAGATGTTTTGGAACTCTCTCCTACATAAACGTCAAAACTTAAAAACATTAACCTTTCAAGTACCTCTAAGTAGACTAGTAAAAATTTGAAATATAGTATATCTCATTGCCCTTTTATTTTTGTAGCAGGAACTCTTTAAATAAGAAGATGAAATTATTTCCCTTTCTTTTCCCAGCCATGTCATATGTTTGAGGTTAATTTCATAGGTGTTACTGGAAAGGGAACAAATAATATTTAATTCTACATACTGAAAAAAGTTCTAAAAGTAAAATTATCTAAGAATAGTAGATCTCAGCACTTTCCACTTTCCCTCCTGCAGCTTCCTTTCCCTCTGTTCCTGAGAGCAGTGTTCCCCCAAAGGGCAGGGAAGCCCCGATTAAGGACAAGCTGGACTAGAGACAGTTCTCTTCCAGCTTGGGGAGGGCTCATGACTCATGTCAGGGACCCGTTTGGAACTTTCCCCCAAGAGCCAGCAGATCGAGGTTTGGGTCTGACTTTGCCGTATTCCACATCTCCAAAATGATGGCTTATACCTCGTGAGACCTTATCTCATGAGATGATCATTGAGAGTCAAAACACACATGATATCATTTTTATGAGGGACAGTACTGTACAGACGGCAGGTACCCCTATTATAGGCATTCCCACCAAACCAAAAACTAAACCCGTTGCCGTCCAGTCGATTCTGACTCGTTGCGACCCTATAGCACAGAGTAGAACTGCCCTATAGGGTTTCCAAGGAGCACTCGGTGGATTCGAACTGCCACCCCTTTGCTTAGCAGCCGAGCTCTTAACCACTGCGCCACCAGGGCTCCATATGCATTCCCAGCACCCTTGTAATTTAAATAATTATTTTTGTAACTCTTGGTTGATAGCTGCCTTTTCTGTAAGATAACTATAGGCTCTATAAGGGCTTGGACCACACCTGTCTTATTCATCTCTGTATCCTAGCACAACACGTTCATTCCAGGTATGAATATTTGTCAAAAGAATGAATGGGTATTTAGTACTACAGCAATTCTTAAGTATATTTCTCATTTCCTTTTTAATTATTCAGACTTCAATTACTTTTAGGTTCCAGAAGCTGAACATTCCCTGTCTTCAGTTAGAAATAAACCACACAATTGAGCGGATTCTTCAGTATTATGTGGCCGAACTTGAAGCTATTAAGAAGGCAAGTATTGTGTTTATAAATAGAATGGTGTATTAGTTCACGATGAAAAAAATTCCAAAAGTATTTGCCAAGCTTTTCAGGGCACTCTTTTCACTGCAAAGTTCCTCTGATGCTCCCCTTTATATGTGGGAAGGTGCTGGCAATGTTTGTCTCTGGACAGCCACATTTACACCCCTTTGCTGTCTTTTCACCACAGTATCCAGGTATGTATGGCAAAGCTCATTTCAATGATTGTTTTTTATGTATAGAAATATGGGCTATGGAGGCAGATATAATGTTACTGTGAGCTCCCTTTTTTGAATACCTCCTTAAAATATGGGATAAGGGCAGGAAAAAAAAATACATGTAAGGTTAAGGAGGGGCAGCAATAATATGTAGAGACCTGGGCCGAGGGTAGAGGTAGTCATTAGAGAAAGGAGAACCTGGGAGATGGACCTAAGGAAAGGGAGCCAGGACAAAGACAGAATGAATTTATGCTCAACGGCAACAAGATATCAAAAGTAATGCCATATTGACTTCACCAAAGAAGACATTCAGGCGGCTAAAAGACACATGAGAAAATGTTCACGATCATTAGCCATTAGAGAAATGCAAATCAAAACTACAATGAGATACCATCTCACCCCAACAAGGCTAGCATTAATCCCAAAAACACAAAATAATAAATGCTGGAGAGGTTGTGGAGAGACTGGAACACTTATACACTGTTGGTGGGAATGTAAACTGGTACAACCACTTTGGAAATTGATTTGGCACTTCCTTAAAAAGCTAGAAATAGAAGTACCATACAATCCAGCAATCCCAGTCTCAGGTTATCATCTCTAAAGTGTATCAGTATATTTATTGACCACATACTGCATATAAAACGTGAATAATGGTAAAACATTGATACAAATATATCTGTATATTTTTGGCCTTCTTCATTGTATCGAATTTCAAACATTAATACCAGCTCTTTAATTACAGCTTTATCATTCTCAAAAAGATGACCCCCCTCTTGCTCGCAACATGCCTCCTATAGCAGGAAAAATACTTTGGGTGAGGCAACTCTACCGCCGGATAAGTGAGCCCATCAACTATTTCTTTGTAAGCCAGTAATTAAAATGGTCATATATGGATTATAGTGGTTTTCATACAAGAGATTTATTTTACCCTATAATATCTGCGTCCAATAAAGTAGTTAGAGCCAATTCTTTTTACCAAGCAAAGAAAATTTAGTTTATAAATATGCTTGGGATAGACTAAGCCAATTCTTTCATGTAGGATAGATAAACCGTTTAATTATAGTAATCTCTAAAGGGAGGAATCTTTTAACTTTATGTCTTTTAATAACTCAGAAGACTTTATATAGGATTTTTAAAAATAATTGTTTTGAAAACACAATAAGGCACAGGCCCAGTGCTGAAGCTTGCTTCTATCTGTGGACAGATAGGTCACTGATATATATTTAGTGAAGATTATTCAAAAAATATATTCCTATATAAAGAACTGAGACCTACGGCAGGGTTAAAAAAACAAAAACCAAAAAACAAAATCCGTTGCCATTGAGTTGATTCTGACTCATAGTGACCCTACAGGACCGAGTAGAACTGCCCCATAGGGTTTCCGAGACTGTAAATCTTTTTATGGAAGCAGACTGCCACATCTTTCTCCCGCAGAGCGCCTGGTGCGTTTGATCCGCTGACCTTTTTGGTTAGTAGCCAAACTGCTTAACCACTGCACCACCAGGGCTCATAGGGCAGAGTACAATAGAATATATTCACTTTCCACGTCCTTAAGGTTATTAGATTTCTGAAAAACACCAGGATGGTCTTAGACCCTACTGGCTTTCTCAAACTGCAAGTTTGCCTTTTTGTTGTTTTTAAAAGACAGAATAACAGAGTAGACTTGGTTTACTTGGTGTTGTGTGTTATGCCTAAATATAGAACAAAATAGCTACAAAACAATAGGCTTGCAAGTAATTTTATTATCTAATCATTATTAAATACTGAGTTTCTATTGTTTTCATTTGCTGCCATCATTGATTTTATTGTTCTGAATTCTAAAAAATAAATACATGAATTAAATCTCTGGCCTGAGACAAGAGCTGGGGGGGGGGCCTCAATTGCTGATTGACTTTCATGGTGGCAGAGCAGAGATTGCCCTGTTTGACGTATGTGAATTGAAACCTAAAACTTCCAAGTTTTACATAAAGAAATTTGATTTTCGTTTGATATACAGTCACTTTTTTTTGCTGGGATTTAGGAATTTGCCCTGATATTCAGATCACCCAAAACCAAACCCACTGTCATCGAGTCAATTCTGAGTCATAGCGACCCTGTAAGACAGAGTAGATCTGCCCCATAGGGTTTCCAAGACTGTAAATCTTTTTGGAAGCAGACTGCCACATCTTTCTCCCATGGAGAGGGTGGTGGGTTTGAACTGCTGACTTTTTGGTTAGCAACCGAGTGCTTAACCACTGCACCACCAGGACTCCTTCAGGAGATCACAGTTCAAGGAAAATCAGACAATCACATCTTGTCCAGAAGAGTGAGGAGGGGGATAAAGAATTGGAGGAAGAGGCTCTTAATGCCTAGGGCTGGCTGTAGGGTCAGGGCCCTCTGCTTTTACATCCTTTCTTTCCTTTTCTAATTTCCCCTCTCTACTGATAACGTTTCATTCTTCTATTTGTAGCTTGTATGGCCTTCCCCAGCTCTGAAAAAAAAAAAAAAAAA